ACCTCGCGCACGCGGTCCTGCCGAGGCGCGCATCCCCGAACAATGCCGCCCGCGCATGCGAAAAACGCATCCCGCCAGCGGGGCGGCCACGCGTGAGACAAATCCCATTCACCTGCGACGAGAACGCGCTCGCGGGCGCGCAGGGTGGGGATCCGCCTCAGCCGTGAATAGCCGTCCCGCAGCATTAGAGACAAGCAAGAAGATAGCCAATAGGGGCCACGACGCTCGCGCGACTTCTCCCCGCGCTCAAATGCTGCCCAGAGCGCCCATTCTAACGCTGCTGGAATCAGGAAGTGGTTGAAGGATGCGTTACCTGGAGGAGCGAGGAAGGTTCATAACTGGTTGAAAAGTGATGATAAGGTGGCGGTGGAGTACCTGGTCGCGCCTGGCGGCATCCGACAAACCCCGAACGACATGATGAAGTATAGGCATGATTTCTGGGCTCGCTGGTGGACCCCCTCGAAGGAGCATTTGCAGGTTCTCAATGATACCCTCGGTGAGCTCAGGTCCCTTGCCCAGACTTTCCTTCTGGAGCTGCCAGAGTTTGAGCCTCGGGGCGTCCTGCAGGCGGCAACTTGTTTTGCTAGTGGCACAGCTGTAGGCGTCGACCAGTGGCCCCCCAGGGCTTTCCTGCAGTTACCGTGGCAAGCGGCCCAGTGTCTGGCAGCCCTGTTCAATATGTGCGAGCAGGCCTTGACGTTCCCGCAGCAGTGTTTCTTGAATATCACGGCGTTGCTTCCCAAGTCTGTGCACGACGAGCGCGCAATCAGCAAGTGTTCTGCGATGTACCGCATGTATGCACGTATGCGTGGTGATCACATCCATGAATGGACGGCTGAGCACACGGACTTCTGGGACAGTGCAGTGCGTAAGTCCTCAGCGTTGCAAGCAGCGCTTCTGCGCGAAGTGTGCCACGAAGTTGCAGGTGCCTTGAAGTTTGACTCGGCCTCTCTGCATTGGGACATGGAGAAGTTTTTTGACTCTGTTGTGCCTGCCCTCTTGGTCCAGCTGGCTCTGAAGGTTGACTATCCTCCTCACCTCCTCTACTTCGGCATGCTTGTGCACACGTGCCCTAGAATGCCCGAGGTGGAAGGGGTCGTCTCGCAGGTCATTGGTACGGGCAGGTCTATTCTCGCTGGATGTTCGCAGTCGGCCCCTTGGGTCAAGACGTATCTGCATGGAGTGCCCGAGCGTGCACATTGTCATCTCCCAGTGGTGCCGATTCGTTCATACATCGATGACATTACACAGTACATGCAAGGTACGCGCAAATATATTGTCTCTGCTCTGCCAGCTGCAGCCGCCGAGTTCTGCCGAGATGTGGGCACGCTTGGCTGTTTAATCTCGCCTAAGTCTGCTGCAGTTACATCGTCCTCTGATCTGGCCAAGGAGTTGTCTGCTAAGTTTGATGAATTGGGGGTTTCTATCTCATTCAAAGGGCAGGTGAAGGATCTGGGGGTCATGACCACGGCGGGGAGGAGGAGATGTGCATGGAAGATCAAGCTGCGCCAGCGGACGGCTTTCAAGCGCTCTCGTAAGCTGGCCTATCTCGCTCGCCTGTGCGGTCGATCCCGCAAGATCTTTAAGCCTGGTGTGCTCAGCGTCGGATCGTGGGGTCATTCTGTGATAGGTTTGACCGTGTCCGATCTGCAGAGTTTCCGATCGCAGGCCGCTAAGTGTTCAGGATACTGGAGTCAAGGTGCATGTACCTCGACCGCCCTCAGCCTGATGAACCCCCTGAGGCAGGATCCTGAATATCGGCTGCGTACTGAACAGTTATCCTCTATTGCAGGTGCATGGCATGCCTTGTCCCCTGGGCAACGGCAAGGGGTGCACAAGGCGTGGGAGCACCATCGGGCTCGGCTCGTTGCTCTCCCGCCTCAGCGTCGCTGGCGCACGGTGGCTGGCCCCATCGCGGCCACGATCTGCACCCTGCTCGATTTGGATTGGTCGCCCACTTCTCCTACACAGTGGGGCACGCCGTGCCGAGTGCTCTGCTTGGAGGCGCGCGACTTCATGTTTCATCTTCGTGCTGCTGTTCGGCAGTCTGTTTCTCGGGGACATGCTAGCAAAGCGGCTCAGCATTTGTGTGGGGAAGGTTTGGAAGGAGGTGCTGATTTCACTGTGTTTCGAAGGATGCATGCTAAGATGGTCAAGAAGGAACAGTACGCTGATGCCGCATTGCTCGTGTGCATTGTTACGGCAGGCACCTGGCCCGAAGCTCGGCTTCAAGATGCGGGGTACCAAACAGACGGCATCTGTCCTAGGTGTGGGGCCGCTCGGGAAACTAGCCTCCACCGCGGCTGGGAATGCTCGGCCAATGCCTTGATCGCCAGCAGCGCGATGCACCGCTCTCTGGACCTTGTCGAGATGGCGAATCAACCCGAGCATGCCAGGAGTGCGTTCTGGACTCGTGGGCTCCCGCCCTTGGCTGCCGCTGTCGCGCCCATTCCGCCGCCTGTCGAGATTGCGAAGTCCTGGGGCCTCTTCGTGGGGGACCAGGTGGTGCGTGGAGGTCGTTACGGTTTGGACGGCTCGGGGGGTATTTACGTTTCGGATTGGAGGCTCAGGCGCTGTGGGTGGTCTGTGGTTCGTTTCGATGAGGACAGCCTCCAGAGCTTGGACCTGGCCTGTGACGCCATCCTCATGGGCACCCTTCCCACAGCGGCTCAGTCGAGCCCCAGGGCCGAAACGTATGCTATGATTATGCTGCTGAGACATACTGTGGGAGATATTGTGGCTTACTCTGATTATCTGCCTTTGGTGCGTGGTCTCCGTAGGGACAGGTCCCATATCTCTGCTACGTCGCCTATGCTCGACCTCTGGGACCAGCTCTGGACGCTCCTGGATGCTCGTGAAGGCTCTGTGGAGGTGTTGTGGACCAAGGCCCACTCCACGGCGGGGACTCGTGAGGTTTGGGGCATCTCTAGGGTCGAGTTTTTCCTGAATGTTGTTGCTGGCTTTTTTGCTGGGGAGGCTGCCGCCTTAGGAGAGGCCCCACAGGACCACGTGAATGTCCTGAATGAAGTAGACGACATGACTGGGAAGGTCCTGTCGCGTTTGCTGGAGGTTAATCGTGAAGTTAATTTAACGTGCCGCCGCCTCGTGTCAGATAGAGTCGGGCGTCCTCCTCCTCTGCCGAGGGCTCCCCCTTCTCTCGCCACTCGCAGAAGTAGACTCGAGGCGGCTGGGCACAGTGTCAAGCTTGTGAATTCAAGATTTAAATGCATTGTCTGTGGCCGCGTTTTTGAGGCCGTGAGGGGAAAGGTTTCCGATTTCTTCCCTGGTCGGTGTGTGGGGGCGCGACAGATAACGTGCGGGTCGGAGCGTGAGGCCGCGATCTCGCACCCTGGGGCTCCCCGGGCGCACTCGTCCCACGACCTCGCGGTCCTGCGTGGTGTCCTGTTTTGCCGAGTCTGCGGGAGGTTCATGGTGCAGAATTCCCAGCTCCTCGGAGAGGAGTGCCCACCAAGCCGCACTCCGACGAAGGCAGGTGCCAGCGTGCTGTCTCGCCTTAGGCGAGGCCTTCCGCCGAAGAGCGGTATGAGTTTCCCAGATCCCTGACGTGTACAGCGGGATCACTGACGGGTTGCTGTGGATGTGTGGTGTGTTGCATGCGCCCTGGCCAGACCAGGTCCCCGCCGAGCGCCAAGCCAGTCCTCGTTCTCCTCCTCGTTTTCCTCCTCGTTCTCCTCCTCCTCGTCCTCCTCCTCATCGTGTTCCTCCTTCTCCTCCTCCTCCTCCTGCTCCTCCTCCTCCTCCTCCCTCTCCTCCTCCTCCTCCTCCTCCTCGTCGTCCTCCTCCTCGTCTTCCTCCTCCTGGTCGTCCTCCTCCTCCTCGTTCTCCTCCTCCTCCTCCTCCTCCGCCTCCTCCTCCTCCTCCTCCTCCTCCTCCTCGTCTCTTCCTGCTCCTCCTCGTTCTCCTCCTCCTCCTCCTCCTCCTCCTCCTCCTCCTCCTCCTCCTCTTGCTCCTCCTCCTCCTCGTTTTCCTCCTCGTTCTCCTCGTTTTCCTCCTCGTTTTCCTCCTCGTTTTCCTCCTCGTTTTCCTCCTCGTTTTCCTTATCTTCCTCGGTCTCGTTCTCCTCTTCCTTCTCGTTCTCCTCGTTCTCCTCGTTTTCCTCCTCCTCCTCCTCCTCGTTCGCCTTCTCCTCCCCCTCCTCTTTCAGGCTCTCCTTCTCCTCTTCGTCGTCGTCCTCCTCGTCCTCGTTCTCCTCCTCCTCCTCTTCCTCCTCCTCCTCCTCTTCCTCCTCGTTATCCTCCTCCTCCTCCTCCTCCTCCTCGTTTTCCTCCTCCTTCTTCTCCTCCTCCTCCTCCGTCTTCTCCTCCTTGTTCTCCTTCTCGTTTCCCTCATTCTCCTTTTCCTCCTTTTCCTCCTCCTCCTCTTCCTCCCTCTCCTCCTCCTTCTCCTCCCTCTAGTTCTCCTCTTCGTTCTAAACCTCCTCCTCGTTCTCCTCCTACTCCTCCTCGTCCTCCCCCTTCTCCTCCTCCAGCTCGAGCGTCAGGCCTGTGCGGGGCAGCGCTCGCTCCACCGTGCCGCGCCCCGGACGTTCCGTTCGCTGTGCGGGGCTTCCGCCCCTCCCACGACCGCCGCCCCACGCTGAGCATCTCGGCCTCTCCTTGTTCGGGTTGGCGACTGACCCTGGGGGACCTTCCCTGCCCCCGTCAATCATCAAGAGCAGTGCGTCCGAGCATTCCCGTTGGGAGGCACGCGGGCTTTCTGCACTGCCGGGGCGGGCGACGTAACCCTCGAATTCGTGATCACTGGCTTTGTTATTTATCACAAGGACCGGATTAAAGTGGCTTGGCCGTCCATGCAGGTGCCACTAGTCAATGCAGTCTTTCCTGGCATGCTTCATGCCCTAGTGTCCGCGCTCGTCGAGATCGCAGACACGCCCCCCCCAAGATGTGTGCTTGACAGCCTTGCTGCTACCATCCGCCAGTTGTGCCTCGGTCTGTTGCCAGTTTGTTGTTGGGTGTGGTTCGCGTGCCACTTCTCGCGAGGAAGCGGCGGCCTCAGACACCGCATGTCCGATGTGCCCTCGACCACCGATATCGTCAAGACCGGGATGTGGACTTACATTGTCGGCGAGGCCCGTGCCACACTTGCAACTGCGAGCTCTCTTCAGTGTTGGGAGTTCCCAGCGCTGCACTCGACCGGCGTGAGGTGTGGTCGTTCGAGTCGTTCGAACGATAAAGCCCGATTCCGCAGCCCCGATCGTAGACTTGGCAGGGAGCTCCACATGAGCCGCATGGGGAAGTCGTGAGCGAACCAAGCAGGATTGGCGGTCGAGCCTGGGTCTTCCCCTTGAACCTCCCTCTTTTTTTTCCTCTCTCCCTCTCTGTTTCTCTCCGGTGTAAGACAGACGTGAGGGTGTGGGGTCACGGAGGCCTTGCAAGCCGAGAAGTGCCGACTAAGTTGAACCGTATGTTGCTCGTTTGTACGTGTCTGAGGCATTGGAAGGAAGCACAACGAGAGATACAGAAAGAGAGAGAGAGAGAGAGATAGAAAGAGCGATAACGAGAGAGAACGTGAGAACACATAGACAAACATATATATATATATGTATACACATACATGTTTTTGTGCACAACTATAGAGCTAGAGATGGGGGCGGGAGGGAGGGAGGGAGAGAGCTTCTCTCTCCCTCCTCATATATATATATACAGATCGAGAGATAGAGAGAGAAACATAACCAAGCCAGAGAGGGATGGAGATAGCCTCACTCTCCCCCAGAGTGGAGGAAGCACAAAGAGCTACATGTACTATGTGATACGTTCGTGCCAAGGCTCGTGCAACAATAACTGCAGCACGTTAGCATCGCAGGAGGTTTGCAAAAAGAGGAATCTGAAGTCGGATCCGACGAAGAGTAGGAGGAATCAGGAGATCAAGAAGAAGAGGAGACAGGAGAAATGGAGGATCATGAAAAATACCAGATCGTTGTTGGGATGAGGTGCAAAGGCAGGATTGCAGTCAAATGCAGGTGGGGTCGCCAAACTCGCCACACCTTGCGGCGAGTGTGGCGCAGGATGGGGGTTCACCTCGTGCGAGTGCAGTTGAACGCGAGCTCCGATGTCCACTTTGGGGGATGTCTCGAGCAAAGCTGTCGTTTCGAGAATATGAGACTAGAGAAGGAGGAGTAGGGGAAGGAGGAGGAGGAGGAATGCAGCACCAGGAACATGAGCAGGAAGAGGAGGAGGAGGAGGAAGAGGAGGGAAGCGGCAGGAAAGGAGGAGAGACGGAACGGAGGATGATAAGGAGGATGAGAAGGCAGAGTTTGGAGACATGTTGTTGTGAGAGGCTCTCGAAGGAAGACTCAGGCCATCTTAGGGGCTCTCTTGGGGTCCCCGTGGGACATTATTGGTGCCATATTGGGGCTCGTTTTGGAGGTCTTGGGGCCCTCTTGGTGCTCATTGGAGGTCTTGGAGCATTGTGGATTTGTTGGGGGGGCGGGGATTCGTGCCCTGCGCGCAGCAGGCAATATGCTGGCACCCCCGCCACTCCTGTCTACAAACCATACAAAGTGCTCGTGGGCATCATGAGCATGACTGGCCATTGTCCCAAAGTGTACTTCGTATTGAGTTTTGACAGGGGATGATGCTGGGGTGGCCCGCATGAGATTCTCATTGTTCCTGGTTGGCCGTCGGTCGCCTGGGGGAGGGGGTGTATATTAATGGGGAACAGTAAGCAACCCCGCCCCAGAGGGGAAAACAGGGGGTTGGAGAGGAGCCTCCTTGGACCACCTACGCCCAGCGGGCTGGTGGGATTCGACGTGTTTCGACGATCTGCCAGAGCCGAGCGACTACGGCGCGATCTGCCACATGTGCCAGCGCCTCATCTCTGCCGAGATGGCGAAGGCGACCGACGCGAGCGATGACGACGACTCGGACAGCACATCGAGCTCCGTCAACTCCGACGGGCAGGACGGGGCCGTTACGGGGAAGGCCGCAGCGGTGACGGGCTTTGCATGACCCCCAGGGACCGGAGCACGCTAGCCTTCACCTCCTCCGACGGAGAAGCCGTGAGGGCGCCACCAGCGGAGGGGCCCCGCGCGACCCATCGGGATGGGGCCCCCTCCCACCGCCCGGGCACCAGCGGGTCAAAGGCCACGCTCGCGCGCTGACGGGGCGTCGGCCGTAGTGCCCGTGCCCGTGCGAGGAGTGAGCTGAGCCAGTCCTGATTCGGCAGAGGTGGGCCGCGCCCAGGCGAAAACTTCCCGCGCGCCGGCGCGATGGCCCCGAGCCCTCGTCGACTGGTGGGCGCCCGCCCGCGGGCCCTCGGCCGCCGCGGGCGGAGGGTGGCCATGGCGGGAGGGGGTGCCAACGCGGTGGGAAGGGTCCCGAGGCAGACAGGCGCCGATCTGCGCGCGGCGGGAGGACATCGGGGGATGAGGGGTGGGTGCTCTCGCGTGCACCACTCCCCCCCGCGGGGCGGGGAGGCGGGGGGCAGGCAGGGAAGGAGGTTGGGAGGGCGGGGGGCGCGGATGACGGGGGGGCGGGGGGCCCAGGCTTGGCATGGCTCGGACGCGCCCATTCTTCCTCGATGGGGGGCCAAGAAAGGGCACTTTGAGCCCACCTTGCGAAAAATACACACGGAGTCGACATATGCACGGGGGGTGGACGTCCGAGCGATGGCCAGCATGGGGGGCGTGCGCGCCCGGCAAGTCCCCCGTGCTCGTCATCGGCGACGGGCCGCAGGGCAGCTTGCTGCAGCCGGGGGAGGAGATCAAGGCCGCTCCTGCCAGTGCCCCTGTGGCCGCTGGCGCCCCCCTGCGTTCCAGGGCCGCGCCTTCTGCTCCTCACCTCTCGGATGCGCCTCCTGGGAGGTCCAGTTCTGCCTTGGCCCTGGTCCGACACCCGGCTGAATCCCGCTTCGTCCAGCTTGCCCATCGGTCGTTGAAAGTGGGTATCTTTGGAGTCCCAGATTCCAATCTGCTTCAAGCGCCTTCCTACTTCAATGATCGAGTGGCTTCAACTTTTCCGTCCTCTTTAGGGGGCGGGCGGACACCCAATCTATTTCCAACGCCTTCCTACTTCATCATGCTTCTACCTACTTTCTGCGACCGATGGGCAATCCCGTGCCATCCGACCCAATCCCGCTGAGTCCGCGGCCGCATCCGTCGCAGCAGCCCCCCAGCTCTTGCCTCCTCTTGCCTCCTATTACTTGGCATCGCTCGGACGCGTGCATTTTCCCTTCGGCGAGGACCCTCGAGGAGCATCCTTGATCATCTGGCGAAAAAGCCACGCGCGAAACCAACAAAAAGCACAGGGAATGGACGTCCGAGCGATGGCCGGATAATCATCCCGTGGCCCTGCCGTGGTCGAGGCCTCCCCGCGCCCGCTGCCCAGCCGCTGGCCAATGGCGGGCCGCGGGGCGCATATCCGCGGCCGCGGCCCCTCGGTGGCCGTGCCCCTGCCGGGCCGCAGGCCGTCGTCGCAGCCTGCCGGCCGCTGGCCCCGCGGGGCGGCGGCCGGCGGCGGCGTGGCGTCTTGGTTTTTGTTCGTGTCCTCGGCCGTCGTCGTGTTGTTTCGTCGTTTGTGCTTTCACAGGCGAAACACGGTATGACATAAGCTTCTTCGCCGTCGGGGGCGCCTGTCCCAGGGCGGCGAGAGAGAGTTTCTACCCCTGCGGTGACACGTCAGGGTACAAGCTTACCAGCCGCCCTGGGACAGGCGCCCCCAGCGACGGACAAGTTTATCTTATGTCGTTCTTCGCTCGGTAAGTGCTATCCGTGTGTTTTTGATCGCCTTCTCTGCCACCAGCATGCTGCCGTCGGTGTCTCTGCTGCGCTTGGTCTATCGTGCGCTTCTGTCTCCGTCTGTCTGGACCCCGGGAGGACGAGGAGCAGGAGGAAACGGACGGTGGTCGTGAGGGGACGTCGAACTAAAAGCATTCGGCGTGATTTCTCGTTGAAGGATATATTTTGTGGTCAGGTATCTCTGATGACCAACGTCTCATGTTCGTTTAAGCGCAATCGGCGATAATGATTCATGCTCTTGCATCTCACCGATTTCTGAAACAATAAGCGTTGAAGGTGGACAAGAAGTGCACCGCGAACGGTGATCTGTTTGTGAAAGGCATCGCGCTCTCTTTTGCGAGGCATCGATGTGTGCTGCTTGCCCTGGGTCAGTCGATCCTTCTCTCATTGTTGCATGACACTGGGTGTCTCTAGCTTCAGTCAAGCTTGTTCAGATGCTGTCTCACGAGTACTAGGGCGCAGTTGCAGGTTCTCACGCCTTACTACTTCGGAGCCCTTGCAGTCATAGGAACCCTTCCCATGAGAGGTTGGTGAGAAACATGCCCGATTGGCAGGCAGGCGAGAACCCTCCGTCTCGGGTGTGATCGAGGAGAGCTCGGCACCTACATGAGAGTCGTGGTCTAGTGGGCTGCTAGCAGGTTGGATGATGAGTTCGCCCTCCCTCGTGACCAACGTCCGACAGGCCGGCACCGCATACCCGCCCGTGCCCAGGGGGAAGATGCGCTGGTCGGCTGTGCGCCTGCCCCGCCGTGCCGCGGCGCGCATGCGTCTGGTGGCGCGGGCGCCCGACCCGCCTCAGCCGAGGCAGCGGCGTGCTGGGGCGGCAGTGGTTCCGCCTCCACGGGAAGGAGCGCAGGGGGTGGGTGCCGGCCGCGCCCTCAGCTGGGCCCTCGTCGCGCGCCGCGCGGGCTTCGGCGGAGCCCCGTCTCGTGCGCGAGTCGTGGCGATCGGGATGGGCACGGAGAGAGTGGGTACAATGCGCAAGAGCGTGTCCTGTGCATTTTGAGCAGGACTCGCCGTCCGCGCCGCCGCGGACGTTGCTCTCTGAAGGCAAAAAGCCGCCTGCGCAACAGCGGCCGCTGTTGGATTTGGGCAATGTCTGTTGTTCGGCACTGTGCCCATTTTTTCTATACCCATTTCGGGCGTCCAAAACTTGGAGGCTGGGCAACGGGGGTGTGGTGGGAGGGGGGGCCGCCTGTAAAAGATTATGGAGTGCGGGTGCCAAAAAGCACGCGCCGGGAGGGCAGGGGCAGGGAAGCGCTGGGCGTCGCGCAGTCTGGGGACGGTGAGCGGAGGGGGGGGGGGGGCAGAGGATGCTGCACAAAAGGGGGCCCCAGAGGGGGCCTCTGGGGCCCGAACACTGCGCCTCTCTCCCCCCGCACCCATCGCTTACCAGCCTGGAGCATATCCCTATCCCCATGCTGGGCACCTCCTCATCACGATGCCAATCTTAGCTTAGGGATTCCCTTATTTTTTGAGGGCGAATCCCTGAGATTGTCATCGCCTTTTGGCGTGTCAATCTTTAGGGATAGGGATACGTTCGAGGCTGGTATAAATCGCCCCCCGTGAGAAGCGGCGCCCAGGAGCGTGCGCGCCTCCCACGACTCGTGCCTCCCCCGAGGCGCCGCGCGAGAGGCCCCCGCCGAGCGCCGCCTGCGGGTTTCGGAGCGGTGGCGGGTCGGCGCGGCGGCGGAGGGGTCGACGGCCCCAGGCCGCTGCCGCCACGGCCTCCTCGCGGCGCCGGGGGGCTCCGGGCCTGGCCGGGCACCGTCTCTGCTTCCGCGCGCCACTCGGCCATCCCGAGGCAGGCAGCAATCTTTGGGCTCCGTCGGCGAGACGTGGGAGCGACCTTTCGACGGAGCGACCCTTGGTGCGGGGGCATCGGGGTGCCCCGATCGCCGAGCGCGATGCGATAGTAGCGCCTTGCGCGCCTGTGCTTGGTCCCCCGTGGCCCCCCGAAAGCTGGCCACCAAAGGTCACTCTTTACTCGGGGTCAATCTTGCGTGTAGCCGACTGAACAGGTTCTCGACGGGGAGGGGGGGGGCAATGAACAGGTTCTGGACGGGGAGGGGGGGGGGCAGTGTGGTTGGCCTGCACGCGTGAGCAGATGGCACATCTTGGGCATGAGGTCCCATCTCAAGGCCCTATGCCCCCCTGGGTTCTAGGCCTCCTAGATGGGGTCGGAGTAGATGGGGTCGGAGGATCGTGCCGCATCGGCGATGCACCTCCAATGCGGCTCAATGTGGAGCCCGATTTTCTCCACGCCGATGTCGCCGATGCATCGCCGATGCAACGCCGATGGATCGGCGTCCTATGGGCGATGCGGCGCGATCCTCCGACCCCATCTACTCCGACCCAATCTGCGAGGCCTCTGCTGTGCCCCCCTGGGCGTGCACCACTCCGCAGGCGGTGCACACGAGCTCCGAGGGGGCGAGGCGCCAGCGGCGGCGGGCCGTGGCGCACGGCTCTCCGTGGCCTGCGTGGCCGAGCGGCAGGCCCGCCCGGCGAGGTCCCGGGGGGGGGGCGGCCGCGCCCCGGAGAGCCCGGGCCACGACACGAGGTTTCGCTTACAGTCGGGGCCCTGAAGAAGGAGCCCTTCGGGGGCCCCCGAACGGTGCGGTGACCACACCGTGCCGTGAGTCGGTGGGGATTCGGGGTCACCGCACGGTTTTGGGACTCGGGTCGTTCTCCGAGGACGTCTCGGGCGACAGGGGCCTCCGAGGTCCCAAAACCGTGCGGTGACGGACCGTGCGGTGAGGTCTTGGGGGATTTCGTGGTCACCGCACGGTCCATCACCGCACCGTTTCGGGACTCCAAAACCCTTTTCGTTGGGGAGGGGCTCCGTGTTCCTGAAGTGCTTCACAGCTCGCCCTAGGTTTTTCTTTTGTTTTTGACAGGGAATCAAAGTTTAGCTTATGGAAAAAAGGGCCTCGTTCCTTATTTTGGGTTCCTTAGGTCAAGGCCCCGACTGTCTTCTGGACGCCCGAGATGGGCACGGAAAGAATGGGTACAATGCCCAACAGCAGTTCTTGTTCATGTTGAACAGGGTTCGCTGTCCACGCCGCCGCGGCTCGTGTCCATTCGAGACAGCAGGCCGCCTGCTCAACAGCGGCCGCTGTTGGTTTAGGACAACATCTGTTGTTGGGCATCGTACCCATTCTTTCCGTGCCCATTTCGGGCGTCAAACTTCTGGGCCAGGCTTGGAGTGTCGCCGAGGTTTGCTTCCCCTTCGCTTTTCTCTCCTCTCCCCGTCCTCCGAAAAAGAAAGAACGCCGTAAGCATAAACTTTTGGCGCTCCGCGCGGATTTCTTGGATCCGCGTTGGGCCCCCCCAGCAGCGGCTCCGGCGCCGCCCCTGGCGCGCTCCGCGCGCCAGGCAGGGGGTTCAGCGCGGCAGTAGTGGCTGCGCCCTGGCTAGTCCCTCACAGGCCACTGAGCGAAACACGGCAAACAATCAGATGTGATATCAAGACGTCGGGCATGTGCCCTAGGATGGCAAGGCCGAAGTTCGGTTCAACGCCAGGATCTCTGGACTGGTGGGCATGGTGTGACGCCCAGGCCTGCACGATAGACCCCGCATGAGTAGCGCAGAAACGATTGCGCGGACGTTGGCGCGTAAGCCACCGCGTAAGTTCGCTGTGCCATCTCGCGCAAGACCAGTCTTTGATCGTCGCTCAAATCGATTCCCTCGTCCAGATGGTTTACTTTTAGAAGGCACGCAAGCATCGGGACGAGGCGCAGCTCGAGCATTTGAGGCGCCAATGTCAGGAAGGCCCTCGCAGGCACTCGGCAGCCAGAGGCGAGACAGGGCGTGAAGAGGCCGATGCTGCGGAGAAGGACGGGGTCCCCCAGCCATCGTGTAGCGATGCTTCGGATGTCTCCTCTGTCCGGGCGACGTCAACGGACCACCTCACCAATCCTAGCTGAGCCGATCGCTGGCCGAGATCGGGGCACATGGCCCCCCCCCTGGCAAAGTCAGGAGGGCGTGGACACCCGTCCTGGGATCAGGACAGGCCTGGCCAGAGGATCGGTGTTGACGTCCCCCGATCTGGTTGGGCGGAGGAGTCCCGTTTTTGTTGTTTTTCTCTCTCGCCATTCATGAGGAGTACAGTGGCGACCCATGCCAAGAGACACCCTGCTTGCCTCCAGGGTGCCCGCGGGTTTCTTGGGCTTGGGTTGTTTTGCTAAGGAAATCGCGACGTTCCCATGCAAAAAATCAATGGACATCCTGGGGTCTGAGGGTTGGGTTTCTTGTGGAAGGTTTCCTGTGGTCGGGCCCCTACTGTATGTCTCGCGGCTCACCTCCGCCCACGGAGCCGCTCCCGCTCCCCCTTCGCCAGCTAGCGCTCGGGCGCGTTATGAACGGTCTCTGAGGCCACGTCGGCCTTGGCATTGGGCGCTTCGTGGCATTTCGCCACCCGCGGAAGCATCCGTCCATTCCTGGCTACTCCGGCTGCCGATGTTTGTGGTTTGCGTTGCTACCCCCAGCTTCATTGTGTCGTTTTAGCGCGGTCAGGGTTTTTGGCGTGCTCGTAATGACCAAGTGTGCGGTTGGTCTCCACCAGCCCTGCTGCTTGCAGGGCCGCCCTGGGTTGGCGCTGGACCTCTGGCGATGGGTTTGCAGGGCCGCCCTGGGTTTGCAGGGCCGCCCTGGGTTTGCAGGGCCGCCCTGGGTTGTGTTGTTCATTGTTTTGCCGATCGGCGCGGGCCCTCGCTCCTCCCCCCCCTCCCCCCCCTGCATGGAGTAGGTCTTGGCTGCTTCTGGCGCCTGTTTCAGGCAGGCGGAGTCCCTCCCTCATGGGACGCACTGTTGCAGACAGCCGCGGTTAGCAGAGGTCCAGAGTCAGAACTCCCCTCCTCCCCCCTCCCTTCCGCCTCGGGTGTCCAATCGCCACTGGGATATCGGGCACCCCCGCTGGGGTGGATACCCTTGGCTGCAGACATCCTTCCACTTCTGAGTCCCAGCCAGTGACTCAGAAGTCCGATTGCGAAAGCCTGACGGCTGGTGCTGCCGTCCTTGTGCGCTAGGAGGGGGGGAGGAGTAGGAAGATGAGGAGGAGGAGGAGGAAAAAGGAGGAGGAGGAGAAGGAGGAGGAGTAGGAAGATGAGGAGGACGAGGAGCAGCGACGATGACGACGACAACTGCGGCGTCGTCGAGGGAAGAGGAGGAGGAGGAAGAGGAGGAGGTGGAGCGATGCGCGAAGAGAGGAGAGCAGCTCCGGGCGGCCCTCCCAGGAGCGGGCCGGCCTTGGCCGGCCATCCCGGGAGGGACGTTCGCCAGATAGCTTCGGCAGATAGTTTGGTCGAAGAAGTCGTCGACGTAGTCCGAGGATGGGTGGGTGTCAAAACGGATCCACTATGGAATTAAAGCAATATCAAACGAGTGGATGGTTCGTAGATGTCGGTGTCTGGGACCCGAGCTGAGAACAGATGTATATTTTTTAAAATAGAAATGGATCCCAAAAGGCATCTCGCAAAGTACGACAAAAGAGTTGCGTCTGCGGCGTGTGGGTGGGGGGCCAGCGCGCGGGATCTCCCCGTGTAACCAGTAGAGTTCTGGATTCCTTGGGATCCCCTGCCACCCCTCTTGGTTCCTCGTGGCATTCCATGCCTCCCTGGGTCATTTCTGGGGGTCCGCCAGGGGGCTTCGGCGAAGCGCCAAAGGACTACACGACGCGAATTGGAAGCGAATCCAATGAGAACCTTATAATTGTTATAATTTTTGCCAGAATCGTTTTTAGATGTTTCCGTGACTCTCATCCCCTACCTCGTGCTTCTGCGACCGCAATGCATCCCTGGGCGAAGAAGCGGCCAGCCGCTGCGTCGCATGAACCAGGTGAGGTGGTCCAGAAGCGGGCGGCTCTATGTGTGTTTTCGACTGGCAGCCGGAAATTGGGAAAGCTTGGTAGAGCAGCGTCATTGGACTTCGATGACACCGATGATGAAGCCGGGGCCAATGCTGCTTCAGGGACAATCTCAACGGCGGCTTCGAGCACGGAGCTGGCCGTGCCAGCTTGTCGCAAGGTTTTCAGCGGACACCAACACTCGTATGCCTCGACGTTTCAGCCAAGCCGAACTCGACGCCGCAGAGGACAACGGAGCTGTCATACATGAACACAATCTTGGCTGTTTTCTAGGGCGCATGATGGAGTTGCAGAGATCCAGTTCTGGAGAAGGATCGGAGAAAATTGTCAAGTTCACGGCGATCCTTGGGTTGAAATGTGACCATCCAACGCAGATGTTTGGCAACGGAACTTCGACAAACTCAAGGAATGGTTGGCTCAGCCGCGGGACAGTTTTCGATATCCTGGTCGTAAACCTAAAAAGATCGATGATGCAGCTGTAAATGAGGAAGAAACGTCGGGTAATTGGCTGCACAATCAAAGGGATTTGCGTCGCAAGGGTGGCGCTCTTCGTGGGTCGTCATGATCATACCGATGGAGCCCGCTAGGATGTGACCATACCTGCTTTGGTGTGCGGGTGAAGCCGGTGGTATTCGCGGTTCGTTCGATGGCTTGCGGGACGCCGACGTGCAATTCGGACCTTGCGCGACACCAGATGCGGATGGAACGACACCGAGCCGCCGCGGTTTCTCCAGAAACGGTTGCCGCGACATCGGGGGCGGTTGTCGCGACGTTTGGAGCGACGCTGGAAACGGTCGTGCGACGGCCAGTGCGCGAGCGGTTTTTCAGACGCGCGCGAATGAAAAGGGTGTAGGGCCATCATAGACATCCCACGCCAAAGGTGCCCACTAGACCATGCCCATGGTGACACTTTTGAGCAATGTAGGCTTTTTCGACAAGATGGGACTCTGACAAATTTCCTGGTATCGTTGAATGTCATCGCCATCGTTCTCGTCATCGCTACCATGCTCGCCGCAAGCGCTGCGGCGTCGTCTTCGTCGTCGCCCACGTCATCGTCATCGTCAGCGCCTCCATCGTTCTCTCCTCCCCCGCTCCCCTCCTTTCCCCCTTCCTCTTCCGCCCCGTCGGTGTCTCGTGGTGTGGTGTCCCGCCGTGATATTGGAGAGGCCTGACGGCCGGTGCCGCCGACCCCGATCGAAAGGGCTAGGAGTTGGGGGAGGAAGCGGAGGATGATGATGATGAGGAGGAGGAGGAGGACGTGATATTTTTTGGGGGTGTTCCGACGGTTTCCGTCGTGGTGTGGTGCCTCGCCGTGGTGTCCCCCGCCGTGGTTCCCCGCCGTGGCGCGGTGTCCCGACGGCGTCCCGACGGTAGCCCGACGGCGTGGCAGGCGGTGGCCGGGAGTGCCCCGCCGCGGTGTCCTGCCGTGGTGTCCCGTGGTGCCCCGTGCGGATCGAGGAATCGAGATTTCGATGATCGGGGCATCGAGGATCGAGGAATCGACGATCGACGGATCGAAGAGAAGCGAGGATCGAGGTGTCGAGGAATCGATGATCGAGGGAAGGGGAATCGAGGAATGGAGGTTCAAGGATCGAGGAGCTGGGTGTCGAGGAATCGGGGACCGAACACCGGAGGAACGGAAAAACATCGAGGGTCGAAGATCGAGGATCGAGGAATCGACGATCGAGGCATGGAGGTTGGAGGAATCGACGATCGAGACATCGAGGCATCGAGGATCGAGGAATCGAGGATCGATGATCGAAGAATGGAGGATCGGAAATCGAGGAATCGAGGATCGAGGAATCGAGGAATCGATTATTGAGGGGTCCAGGCGTCGAAGGTCGAGGATCGATGAATCGAGGAATCGAGGATCGAGGATCGAGGAATCGAGGATCGAGAAATCGAGGAATCGAGGACTCGAGGATCGAGGATCGAGGACTGGAGGATCGAGGAATCGAGGAAAAGGGGATCGAAGAGTCGAGGAATTTGGAATCGAGGATCGAGGAATCGAGGGATCGAGGATCGAGGAATGGGGATGGACGAGTCGGGGAAATCGTGGCATCGACCGTCGAGGATCGAGGAATCGAGGATCGAGGAATCGAGGCTCGAGGAATCGAGGGATCGAGGATCGAGGAATCGAGGCATCGAGGCATCGAAGAATCGAGGCATCGAGGCATCGAGGGATCGAGGAATGGAGGAATCGAGGCATCGAGGCATCGAGGGATCGAGGGATCGAGGAACGGAAGATCGAGGATCGAGGAATCGGGGGTCGAGGCATCGAGGAATCGGGGATCGAGGAATCGAAGAGTGGTGTATCGAGGACTCGAGGAATCGAGGCATCCATGATCGAAGAATCGAGGATCGAGGAATCGAGGATCGAGGAGCCGAAGAATGGGTATCGAGGATCGAGGAATCGAGGATCGAGGGATCGAGGAATCGAGGCACCGAGGCATCGAGGATCGACGATGGAAGGATCCAGGAATCGACGATCGAGGGATCGAGAACCGAAGCATCGACGATCGAGGAATGGAGGATCGAGGACTGGACGATCGAGGAATCGAGGAATGGAGAGTCGAGGAACGGAGGACCGAGAATCGAACGTGAGATCGACTGAGTGAGAGGTCGCAGCCTGGCCGGCGTATCCCAGGAGGGGGTCGGGCCCCGGCTGGCGTATCCCAGGAGGGGGTCGGGCCCAGCCAGCGCATCCCAGGAGGGGGATCGGGCTCTGGCCGGCCATCCCATGGGGGGGGGGCCGGGCCCGGCCGGCGTATCCCAGGAGGGGGTCGGCCCCGGGCCAGCGTATCTCGGGCCGGACGAAAGGGGGGGATTGGGAAAGGGGGGGTTACGAAATTTGCTGCATGCAGCTGGTTTCGGCCTCACCGAGGGGCCCATTCCTCGATACATGGGCGCCTCCGGCGCCAGGAGGCGCCGGGAGAATCAGCTACGTGAGCTGATTCTCAAACCCCCCCTTTGCTATCCCGCCCTTTCGCCCGACCCGAGTATCGGGCAGGTGCCCAGGGGAATGGATCAAAGGGCAGGGGCTTCCCTTCGACTCAACTACGATGCGACGTCAATTGGTTCTGCCCGGGACGCCGGAAGAGAAGCGGCGAAGGCGACGACGACGACGATGACGACAACGACTCCGACGGAAAAGCCCCTCTCACACGCCGACGGGGTCGGCGGATTTTCGGACCTGCAGGGCCTGTGTCTTTTTGGGGGAGCAGGCGCGTCTTTTCAAGATGCTGCTGACCCAGACGTGCGACGTCCTGTTTTTGTTCTCACCGTGGTGCCCCTGGACGTCCCGACCCTGTCCCCAGGGCCCCGGCGTCTCGTCCCGAGCCGTCTCTCTTGACGGTCCCGGGGTCCAGCGGGCCCCCGGGGGCCGAGAGTAGCGAAAAATCGGCATCCCCCCAACATACTTATACTATGTGTTCGTCGCCCCCCCAGGGGCGACGCGCGCGCCGAGAAATCTTGTAGTATATGCGTCGTGGCGGGCGCTTTCTGGCCACACCGCTCGGGAAACGATGTACTACAAGATGGGTATACTACATATTCGGGTCGGACGCGCGCCTCCAAGGAGGACACATCGTATGAGTATGTCTCTGTGCGTCCCAAAAAAGTTGCCGCCCTGCTCTTCGCACGACGCGACCGTGTCTGGGGACAGGAGCGCCGGGCTGCTCGTTCGGGACGTCGGGCCTCGGGCGCCGCCCGCCACCGGGCCTGCCCGCGCCGGGCCTGCCGCCGGGCCTGCCGCCCGCCCCGCTCGGGTGTGGCCAGGGCCCTGGGCAAGGGCGGAGGAGGAGGAGGGGGAGGAGGAGGAGGAGGAGGAGGAGGAGGAGGAGGAGGAGGAGGAGGAGGGGGAGGAGGGGGAGGAGGAGGAGGAGGAGGAGGGAGGAGGAGGAGGAGGAGGAGGAGGAGGAGGAGGGCTCTCTACTTTGCTGCTGCCTGTTCCCCCCTTTTCCCTCTTGCGTGGCACTGCTTGTGGACACCACGGGCGCGGGCGCCGAAGCCCACGCTGGGCCCCGAAGCCCAAACTATGGACGGCAACGCGCAGAGGGGGGTAGGGGGAGTGGGGAAGGCTTCTTAGGAGCACCCCTGCTTCTCAGAAGGCGCGGGCCTTCTCTATAGACGCAAGGCCGAGGCCTTCTAAGAAGCAGGGTGCTTCTGTGCTTCTAAGAAGCCTTCCCCCCTCCCCCTACCCCCTTTTGCGTGCCGCCAAAATGGACTCGAATCACTAAGCCAGGTCTGCCGTTTTTGTCGGGTGGCGGCAGTTCCAGCTGTGGTGGAGTGGGGCGGGGGGGGGGCGTTCCCCAGTTCACATCACTAAACCAGGCCCCGCTAAACTGAGGTCGGGCTTGTCCCTCTACCGAAGGAATATTCAAACATAGTTGAAAAAATAGTCTGGGGGCGATTTCTTGACAATGGGGCGATGTTTTGCACATTTTTCAATACGTTGGACAATGTTTGGTGTTTTCTGTATTTTGTGTACAACATCCGCCTGTAGGAGGACACGCCCGACCTAACACGGAACCGGTCCTGGCAACGCCCGGCCCGCGGCCGGCTTGGTCGGCCGGCTCGGGCGGGGCCTGCCCGTGGGGTGCCGGGCCCAGGCCACCGCGGTGAACGGCAAGCAGCTGCTGTTCGAGAAGGAGGGCGCGCGCGCGCCTCTCCGCTTCGCAGACCCCCCTCCCTCCCCCCCTCCCGTTGGGGCGACCAGGAGGGGATACCAGTATCCCCCTTGATGGGCCTCCTGTGGCCTACTGCAGCCCATGGGGCTTCCTGTGGCCTCTGGCAGCCCATGGGGCATAGGGCTTCCTGACGGCTCCTGGAGCCTATGGGGCCTCCTGAGGCTTCTTGGCGTCCCTCATAGAATGCTGTCTAGGGTCTCCTGAGGCCTGCTCAGGCCCTCCGCGGCTTCCTGGATCTCCTGAGGCCCACATGAGATTTCCTAGAGTCCATGTGGTGCTTTCTCCCTACCCTTTGGTGCCTCCTAGGCATCCTGAAATATCCTGTGGTCTTTTGGGGCCTCCTAGGGTTTCTCGAGGCCTCCTAGGGCCTCCTAGGCCACGTGGCCTCGCGAGGCCTCTGCAAGCGTCGGTCCAACGGACGAGGAGGGCAGGCGGAATCGGCATAAACCCTCAGAGGGCGGTGCATGAGCTCCTCTCCCTCCTCCTCCTCCTCCTCCTCCTCCTTCTCCTCCTCCTCCTCCTCCCCCTCCTCCTCGTCCTCCTCCTATTGCTCCTCCCCTCTTACTCATCCTCCTGAGGAGGGGGAGGAGGGAGGGGGCAAGGCAAGCTAGGTGCGCTCGCGTCATATCTGACGTCCTACCCCTCCCTCCCATCCCTTACCATGGCGCTGATTTTCTCTATCCGCGGACGCGTGTCGTAGCGGACCTGTGGCTCCGCGCGCGCGTGCGTAGTGGGTGGTGGTGCGCGTGCGTGCGTGCGTGCGTGTGTGCGTGGTTGTGGTGGTGGTGGTGGTGGTGGTGGTGGTGGTGGTGGTGGTGCTGGTGGTGGTGCTGGTGCTGGTGCTGGTGGTGGTGGTGGTGGTGGTGGTGGTGGTGGTGGTGGTGGTGGTGGTGGTGGTGGTGGTGGCGGTGCGGCGCGGTGGTGGCGGGCGGATGGGCGCGCGAGAAAGAGGCCCGCGCTGGGGCGAGAACGCCATCCTGAACGACGGAGGCCAAACACCGATCCGAAAATGAGGCCCACGCTGCAGCGGGAGCACGATTCGGAACGATTCGGGAGCAGAAATGAGGCCGGCGCCTCAGCGAGAGCAGCATTTTGAAAAAAACGCAGGCGAAAACCCAACTCCCGGGAATCCTGTGTGTAAAAAACAGTACGCGGGGGTGAGTCGGCCACTCCCAGCACGCCATCAGGGGAAGAGGGAGAGTAGTATTCATATTGAGTAATTGCAAAGAGAACGGATGAGGGGAGGGTGAATGGGATCGGAGGGAGGAGGAGGTTGATTAGAGGAGGTGGGGTGATCCTGTAGACCGTGCGTCCAGGAATCCAGAATTCACCAGCAAATCCAGGGCGGCGGAGTTTTGCGCAGACGTCGCTTTTTCATGAAAAAAGCGACGTGTGCGCAGAATCGATGTTGTACAGCGCCTGGCGCTGGGTGACTTCCTTGGGATAATTTTGAAGGTCGCGCCGCGGAGTCAGGGGCGGGTGAAGCGGGCCCAAGGGCCTTCTGAGGCCTCCTGGAGCCCATGGGGCCTCCTGATGATGTCCACGGCCCGCCTCCTCCTCACTCGTCCTCCTCACTTGTCCTCCTCCCCTCCTCCTTCTCCTCCTTCTTCTCCTCCTTGTCCTCGTCCTCCTCCTTCTCCTCCTCCTCCTCCTCTTGCTCCTCCTGCTTCTCCTCCCCCTCCTCCTCCTCCTCCTCCTCCTCCTCCTCCTCCTCCTCCTCCTCCTCCTCTACCTCTTGCTCCTCCCCTCTTACTCATCCTCCTGAGGAGGGGGAGGAGGGAGGGGGCAAGGAAAGAGTACGGATGGGGGGAGGGCGAATGAGATCGGAGGGATGAGGAGGTTCATTGGAGGAGGTGGGATGAACCTGTAAACCATGCGTCCAGGAATCCAGAATTCACCAGCAAATCCAGGGCGGCGGAGTTTTGCGCAGACGTCGCTTTTTCATGAAAAAAGCGACGTGTGCGCAGAATCGATGTTGTACAGCGCCTGGCGCTGGGTGACTTCCTTGGGATAATTTTGAAGGTCGCGCCGCGGAGTCAGGGGCGGGTGCAGCGGGCACAAGGGCCTCCTGAGGCCTCCTGGAGCCCATGGGGCCTCCTGATGATGTCCACGGCCCGCCTCCTCCTCACTCGTCCTCCTCGTCCTCCTCCTCCCCCTCCTCCCCCTCCTCCTCCTCCTCGTCCTCCTCCCTCTCCTCCTCCTCCTTCTCCTCGTCCTCCTCCTCCTCCTCCTCCTCCTCCTCCTCCTCCTCCTCCTCCTCCTCTCCTCTCCTCTCCTCTCCTCCTGAGGCCTCCTGGAGCCCATGGGGCCTCCTGATGATGTCCACGGCCCGCCTCCTCCTCACTCGTCCTCCTCGTCCTCCTCCTCCCCCTCCTCCCCCTCCTCCTCCTCCTCGTCCTCCTCCCTCTCCTCCTCCTCCTTCTCCTCGTCCTCCTCCTCCTCCTCCTCCTCCTCCTCCTCCTCCTCCTCCTCCTCCTCTCCTCTCCTCTCCTCTCCTCCTGAGGCCTCCTGGAGCCCATGGGGCCTCCTGACGATGTCCACGGCCCAAGAGCTGTGAGAACGGTCCGATCGGCCACTTCTGGGGCCCGAACTGCAACCCGAAAGTGGACTGCGGGTAAGGGAGGCAACTATGTTTTACGCATGACGGTCGCGAGGCGAAACAGGATGAACATCTACTTTTCAGCTCGCTGAGGGGCAGCGAACGCGATCTGTGTTTCTGGGGTGACGGTGGAGGAGGCAATGCTCGTAGGGTAAGAGCAAACCTAAGTAGCCCAATCGTCGGTAAGAGCAAACCTGAGGTCCGAACTTGTCGCGGATGGGTGTCGTAAGGATTCTTGTTGACGGATCAATCGCGCTGGCTGAGCGTCTTGGGATTTGGCCCTGGAAAACGCTGCCCCCCAAGCGACCTCTAACATCTACTCAAGATCTCAATGCCGCGCATTGGCCTGTTCAGCCACTCACCCTGTGCACCTGTACCTCCAGCGCAGGGCAGTGGCCATCTCGGCTGCCCCCCCGCCGTCGGGCGATGCCCGATCGCCATGTAAATGCTAAGTGAATTAAATGCACCCTGTTCAGCGCATGCACCACTACGCAGGGAGAACTTTCGTGCGCGCAGGCTAGCGCAGCACCCTCGCATCATGCATCGAGCCGGATGCCGCGGGCTTCAAGCGCGGATTCGCGCGCCAGTCCCGCAGGTCATCCCCGCCCGCACAGCGCCGCGCTCGGCTCCGCGGTACACTTGCACGGGACCTGCGTGCACTGGCGCATTGGAAAAGTGCGGCCAGCAGGCCGCGAGGTCACGCGCCCTCGACATTGCACGCGCCCTGTTCCATGGTCTCCTTGCGCACGCCCCTGGTCTTCCCGCGTAGCTGGAGGAACTTTGTTCTTGGCCCTGCTGGTGAGCAGGCGCACGACTTCCTTGACCTTGCTGGTCGCCAGCTCCCTCTGGTTGGGGGCGTTGAACGTCCGCTTGTTGAAAGCGAGCGTGAAGGGCTTGTCCTTTGACGCTTAATTCTATACATTTATATAAAAAACAACCAACCATGTTTTCGAATCTATAAATATATATATATATATATATATATATAGATATCTGTATCTAGTGTATATAATTATATACACTATATACACATATAACAAATATGTCAGCAAAGGGGAGAACAATCTGAGATATTTGTTTTTAAGAATAGCACAAAAGAATGCCCTCCGGCACCGCGGCGATGGCCTCTTTCGCCGCTGCGACGACGGCCGTGGTCGAAGCGCCGCCCCTCGACTTCGTCAAAACCTTCTGGTGGAAGCCCCGGCCGGCGGTCATGGCGCAAACGGCGGCGCACGCCAAGCGGGGCTTGGCGCGACAGCTGGAGCTTGTCCATACGCTTTCCGATCACCCTTGGGAAAAGTCCGTCGGGCCCGGGGAGGAATGGAAATTCTCCAACACCTCCCAGGCGTTCACCTGAGACTAATTGTCCACAGCGCACGTGTAACTAAGCCTGCCACCCCAGAGCTGGGCAGCCCAGCGAACGCAGCGCCGCGTTGCCCAACTCGGGTGTGGAAGGAATCATAATTACACTTTGGATCGTTGTCGGCCTCGCAGTGGCGCGGTCGCCTTTCGAGGGACGCAGCGGAGAACACATCCATGTCCACATGCGCCCACACATCCTTGGCAGCTTTCAAAATCGTGGCCTTTTCCCGGGGTTGTCCACGATAGCCTTACGGGCGGCCAAGAATTGCAACAGCGGGACCGTGCACCCAGAACTCGGGAAGTTCAGAGTCATGCCGACAAAGACGTAGGGAACGCGCACACAAGACGTAGCACAGCCGAAATGGTTACTGATAAACACAATGGTTTTGAATTAGGCTACCCATGAGTAAGCAATATAATGAAGATGGTGATGATGATGATGATGATGCTGATGATGATGATGATGATGATGATGATGATGATGATGATGATGATGATGATGATGATGATGTTGATGATGATGATGATGATGATGATGATGATGATGATGATGATGATGATGATGATGATGATGCCGATGCTGATGCTGATGCTGATGCTGATGAGTATGACGATGATAATGATAGTTATGACGATGTTGGTGGTGATGATGAGGAGGAAGCGGAGGACGATAAGTAGACAGGTAAGGCAGGAGGAGGAGGGAGAGAGAGAGAGAGAGAGAGAGCGATAGAGAGAGAGAGAGAGAAAGACAGCCCGTAGAGGTGTTAGGCACCTGCGGCCTTGCGCCGGGTTGTGGAAAACACGATGTCGTCGTCAAGCGTCGGCCCGACGGAGGAGGAGGGCAGGGGGAATCGGTATAAACCTTCAGAGGGCGGTGCATGAGATCCTCCTCCTCCTCCTCCTCCACCTCCTCCTCCTACTCATCCTCCTGAGGAGGGGGAGGAGGGAGGGAGGAAGGAAAGAGAACGGATGGGGGAGGGCGAATGAGATCGGAGGGAGGAGGAGGTTGATTGGAGGAGGTGGGGAGAACCTGTAAACCATGCGTCCAGGATCGATGTTTTACAGCGCCTGACGGAGCTGAAGGCCTCCACGACGCTCCAAGATGGCCCAAAGGGGCCCCAAGACAGCCCAGGAGGGCGCGGGGGCTGCGCAGTGGCACGAATTTTAATGCAATTTCGTCGCGCAGAGCACTCGCGGGACACCAAGATAACCCCAGGAGGGGGACGGTCAGGAAACCAGGGGTCCCCAAAGTTGCACAATTTTTAAAAGTCTTAAGCGTTTTAAAAGTTTTAGGCGCCCTAGAACCTTTAATACTTTTAAGCGTTTTAAGAGTTTTGAAAGTCCCTGCGCCCTGGACTCTAAGAATTTCAAGATTCCCGAAATACCCGAGGCATTCTGGAAAAACCCGAGGCATTCTGGGAGGAGGAGAGGCAGAATATTGAGGCAGACAGGGGGGGAGGAG